TTCTGACATGGATTAAGAGAGGCCAAATGTTGAGACTATCAAGTGTGTGGTGGTTGGAGACAATGCAGTTGGAAAGACCCGTCTTATCTGTGCCCGGGCCTGTAACGCAACGCTTACACAATACCAGCTACTTGCCACACATGTGCCCACTGTCTGGGCAATAGATCAGTACAGAGTCTGCCAGGAGGTGAGGAATGCCTGCTGCCATATTCTTATTCATAAAATAAGTATTTGAAAGAAATGATGATGCAACATGTGATGGTAGCTACTTTCGATAATTTCCCTGATAAGTAATCTGATAAAATGTTGAAAAATGTGTCATACGCAGTTTCTCGGGTAAATCTCCATGCATGTGATAGGTGTGTCTCTCCGGCCAGGTTCTAGAAAGGTCCAGGGATGTGGTGGATGATGTCAGTGTGTCATTGCGTCTCTGGGACACTTTCGGTGACCATCACAAGGACCGCAGATTTGCGTATGGCAGGTGAACGTCTCGGTTACGTATGTAACTCTCGTTCCCTGAAGGAGGGAACGGAGACGTCACGTCGTGACCGACGAATTGGGATCTCGCTTCGAGAGACCAATCTACTTCGAGTGTAACTAAACGAGCCAATGCACATTGACATGCAATTATTGTATCCAGCTGCCGCTGATCACAGCGTGAGCATAAAAAGGCAGCCGGTGCAATGCATACCAGGTTTTCGCTGAGGAGCTGAGCCGGTGACACCATGACAGCAGCAGCCATGGTGACGGGACGTGACGTCTCCGTTCCCTCCTTCAGGGAACGAGGGTTACATACGTAACCGAGACGTTCCCTTTCAATCGGTCACTACGAGTCACGACGTGACCGACGAATTGGGATTCTCTACCAAAGCGCCATGGATGCTGCCCCTTCCAATGCCCTGTGCGAGCCACCTGCGCCCCTTTTTAGTGTAGGCCGGGGCTCGCAACAAGAAGACCATTCACCGTTGTCGTAGCACTACCCACTCAGTGAGATTGGATAACACTGGGCAAACGTACCTGTTCTACTTGGAACAGGGACGTTGCGGAAGCCCCATCCTTCCCGAAGGAGGTTTCGGAAGCAAATACACATATGAACATCCATTTAGGTGCATATGGGAAATTGGAGGTGATTATGACCCTCTTGGAAATGGCAGAAGTCTGCCGGGGAAACACGGGCTCTGAGGCTATACCGTGGGCTTTACACATATGGGATCCGCTTAGGTCTCTACATATGAAACCCAGCCCTCTACCGGTTCTCAAGGATTCAGCGAAAGAGGGCCTGGCGCCGGACGTTCCGCCACGTCTGGCTGCCGAGGGGATGGAGGAGCTCGACAGGGCCTACAGTACGGACACTCTGGAGCAGTTTTAGCAAGCCGACACTAAAACGGGGCCTCTCAGTGCTTCTACCCGTTTGAGGTGAGAACACAGGAGGATACCAGCTCCACACGAAGGCTATAGAATCTAGCGAACGTGTTAAGGGTCGCCCAGCCCGCAGCTCTACAAATATCTGTCAACGAGGCGCCATGGGCCAGCGCCCAGGAGGATGCAACACT